AATCTGTCCAGACGACTGCCTCAATGAGGAGCTTAAGATTATTAAAGAATTACTGAGAAAAAGTGGTTATCCAGATAAATTTATTGAGAAGAATATGAATTCAGCACCAAAGAGGGTCAGTATCGCTACAGTTTCAAAAAAGCCAATGTTCATAAAATTGCAGTTCCTCGGTGACAACATCAGTGAAATCATAACACAGCGCTTGAAGAATGCGGTAAAAAGAGCTTATTATGCAGCAGAAGTACGTTGTCTCTTCAAAACCACCCCTATTCTATGTTCGAGAAATAAGGACAAACTACCTAAATTTGCCTCTTCTATGTGTGTCTACCAATTTGACTGCAGCTGCGGAGCCAGCTACATTGGGCGTACAATTAGGCAGTTTCATCGTCGTATTTCTGAACATCATCCAGCGTGGTTAAGCAAGGGACAAATAAAATCTATTCGTAGTTCTATTTTAGCACACCTTGTTGATACTGAGCACAAAGTCGATGTGAATACTGCATTTAAAATTATTTATCGTATTCCAACTAATCTTAACTTTGCTCTAAGATTTTGTCTTTTACAGACAGCTGAAGCAATTGGAATCCACCAGAAGAAACCAAGCCTATGTGTACAGAAGAAATTTGTACAGCCACTTTGCTTACCATGGCCATCGTTACAAGACAGGACTACGTCGCCCCCTCCCCCTATTAAATTATAATTGTCCAAATTATTTTTATTTTGACTTCTTTAATCACGTGTTATTCTTGTAAAATTACATTATAATTGTCCAAATTATCTTAATTTTATTTTGACCACTTCATCTTTAATTACGTGTTATTCTTGTAAAATTAATTTATTCTATCCATTTCTACCTCTTAATTGTGTGTATTAATTTTCTTCCTTAATTATCTACCCATTGACATTTTGACACTGGTTAATTATTGTTAACAAACGTATCGCCACGTGTTTGGTAAATTGTTGTGTATTGTAAAAAATGCTATATATATTAGAGTAGAGCCATAGAAGAGGATCTAATTGAAAAGTGAATATTTCTTCGCTCAATCTTTCTGTTTTCTCAAATGTCTAAATGGAGGAGATCGTTTGAAGAGGAGTTGAAACAGTATGGATTAACATAGATCCAAGTGAAAGGTACAGCAGAAGACAGAAGCAAGTGGAGACGTGTAGTTAAAGCCCTATGTTCCACTAGGAACCCAAGGGAACAATGATAATAATAATATAAGCCAGACTGCAAGCAAGTAGCAAATATGAACAAAGAGTAAGTTTTAGCTTTAATAAAGGCCTAGGTGTTCAAATTAAAATAGGGTAAATAGTGCAGAAACCCGCTGCGTTGCTTTTTTGTCGACGTATCCATATACTCTAAAATTATGAAAAACACCCATTAGGACAGTAGACACAAATGAACAAATAGACCAAAGAAGATACGCTTTCAGCCTCGAAAGATATACTACCGTTTATTTACTTCAGCAGTCTTAGAGGTGTATGAGTGATTACTCTCCATACTTAACATTAGAAATGAAGGAGGGTTGTGGATGCCGATAACCATTTTTGCTGGTGGTCACAAATGTAAATTGTTCCTATCTGTAGAGCGGCAACATGGACTTTGATGGTTTTAAATTTAAACAGGAGTTTAGATTGTCTAGATGTAAATATCAGATAGTTCTTTTACCTCTAACACCTACCATCCTGTTCAGCTTCTTGCTGATATGGGAGTCCGTGGGTCTGACATTGATTTCTGGGATATTTCATAAGCAAGCGTGTCCTACATTTTCAGAATTTTTAATCACGCTTCTGACAAGCCACCGCTTGAATATTTCATCACCATTTTTACTTGAACAAAAATGTGTGTCAGTGGCACAGCGGTTAGGACTCTCGCCGATCATGAAAATTGTCCGAGGTTCGATCCCCCGCCGACGCAAACCTGATGTCTACGGTCGGCCTGCTATCACACGCTGAAAATTTCATACTTGTACCAAAATACTGTTTGGAATCAAGCTATAATAAAATAATAAAAAATCTTATCTGTACAAGCTCCTCTTCACGTTAACATTTACTCATTTCATCCTCATTCACTGCTCCACGAGGTTGTGGTTGTGCAGAAGACAACACCTTGCTTGAGGTGAACTTCATTTTCACTGAAATTATTATAGTCATGACGGCAAGACGGATATAGTTAGCATCATATCTCTCAAATTTGTATTGTCATCCTTACGACTGTATAGCTCCTTCTTACATACCTCTTGAAAGTGATAAACTGCCATTATTTAAATCTTTACTCCACTTCATTTCCCTTCAGAACCTTTTGTTCCCTGAATTAGCTCTCAATAACGCGTGGATGTAGGAGTGAATGAATAGAGATTTATTATCAGTCGAGCACAATAGCCCATAGAAAACGAAGTAAAATTTCAGATTTGCATCAAGTTCGATCATGCCTGTAAAAAGGCGTTTTATTTTTTATTTATTTTTTATTTTTTAATTTTTGATTTACAGCTTGATTCCACACCGTATTTTCAGTACAAGTATGGAAGTTTCAGCATGGATATCAGTAGCCCAAATTCAGGCCGACCATAGATATCGGGTGTGCGCCGGCAGGGGATCGAACTCCGGACCATGTGCATGGTCGGCGAGAGTCCTAACCACTATGCAAATGAGTTTGCTCACGAGAAAATATGTGCAACAATAATTATTACTCATAAATCTTGACAACACGAATGTAGCATTAAAACTGGTCCCACGTCTTGGTTGCACTTTCCAAGATAAATGTTTGCAAGGTAAATATTATTCACATAGCGGGACAAGTGAGAGTTCTCAAAGACAAAAACCGGATTTAAGCAAAATAAACTAGGACACAGTTTACAAAACTGTGATATTAATCTGTTTGTACCAACAACAAAAGGTAGTCAAGATCTTAGCTGAATTTCCACACATGTCAACTCAGTGATAGTAGTCGGTACCAGGGTAGAGCTACAATCTTTCCTAATGACAGAAATTTTATTATCACAGGACGATGTCGCAAATCCAAGGTGACTGGTTTTTAATAATACGCATGGGTAGCTATCTAATCTTTGTGCTCTACCTAGGTATGAACTTCATAATAATTCATTAATACTAGCTCTAAGTGTTGTTAGGTATGAAATCGACAAAATATGAGACTCGAAAGGATTGAGGACAAACGCAACAGACGTGTTTAATGAAGGGCAGACCTAATGTAGCTCAGCTAAATTTGAGCATTCATTGAGAGTATTCTACTGACAGTAGTTTCAGTCAGAAAGTATCAGGAGGATATCCGTGATAAGGGAAAGCATTGAGCTAAAATTGGGCTACTAAATAAAAACTACATCTAAACATCCTTGAAATGTATTAGGCGATGAATTACGCTTGTAATCAGTAGCTCGCTAAGAATTGATCCAGAATGCATAGATCAAGAGGGCAACTGAAAATAGGAGTGCCGGCCTTAGAACTTTAGTACAGTATCTGCGTATTTTGTGGTTGGGTTGACTTCATCAGATTTCGTTCTATCTCCCCTTTTTGAGTTCGGAAGTGTATAAAACGGTCCAGCTTCTTCGAAAACTTTTATTTGTTGGAGAACAGATCTTGTGCACTTCTCAAAATCATGTTTGCAGACTCCTTCTCCCTTTTTTAGAGATAAGGACGAAGATTTCTGATATATACTCCCGGTGATATCCATGTCCTCCACCGTAAATTCCTGTGCTTATACACACTGCTGCAATCTTCAGGTCGCTGAAGTCAGAGAATTCGGAGAAAAGTACGCCGTTCTCATTTCTTTCCTCGAGAGCTTTAGAGACTCATGGTGAGCTCTCTTCTTGTACAGTTTTCTGCTTGTTTGGCATTCATATCACCTATTAGGATAGTGAATTTGCCATTTGGCGTCTTGTTCATTTGTCTGTAGAAATCTTCCCTCTTCTCTTGACCTCGGCTGTCTATGGGCTTGCACAGTTATATAATTGTCACCGACCTACTGAATTAAATTTTGCTATATTATGCTGGTGAAAACCACCCAGCACTTCTTTAGAGCTTTGGCTGCTACTGGCAGCATCATGATAGACACTCTTTTAGTGTGCTCAAGGTTGTCGTCTGGGTGGCCGGAGTTGAATATTTACCCTTCAGTTAACAACTTGGAGAGTACACTTCTGTTCCGCAGATTCCGAGCACCTAAACTCTAGATCTTTTCATCACTTCGGCAGTTTGAGCAGCCTGCCAAACTATGGATATTGTGTGGACATCCATGTCCGCATGCTTATTTTCGCTTTCTGTGAGCGAAACCCCCTGACTGTCTGTCTTACTAAGGCCTTTCACTAACCCACGTCATTGCTTCACTCTGATTCCAACGAAGAATATGTTTGATTTTTATACTGACAGGGGCTGAGAGTGAATATCAGTGGCAAGTATAATTAAAGTTATCACTTTAACAGAAAATTAAGTTTATCGGACGGTTTATAATGAATTTAGCTCAGTGAGTTTTAACGATTTATGTCTGTCTGTCAGGAATGATGCATACTGACAGTCGGGCAAGGAATGGGATTACGGAAGGCGCAGTAATTTGTTCATTATTTACCCGGTGTATGAACTAATCATTTAGGACAACAAGACCCCCATGTATTTCTGTACTCACGATACAAATTTTGAAGAGGTATGTAAGGGGAACACCAGGTAACGCCCTTAATATGCATAATAACTTGATGAAGTGGTTTAAAGACGAGCTACTCAGAAGTTTGCCAAGGATCAGGAACCTATACACCACAATCAAGAGGCGAGCACACAGAAATCAAACTGGTTTATACTAGCTCGCAAAAGCGATATTGGATATTGGAAGGAAGAATTAGATCTTATTTACATATATATATATATATAGTTCGCTCTCCATAAATCAGTATCTGAGTACTTACGGCGCTATTATAAGTTCCATTTCTACAAAAATTTCTCTTAAGCTGTCTTCTGTTCTTCCCATCATCACTTGGACATACCATTGACCTTCACTTCAAGGTTTCGTACCAGCGGGGGAGAATTAAAGCTAAACATTGTTGGATATATTTTTGTCTCACACATGTAATGGAAGCAAAGGCAAACGATTTTCATCGGTAAGTAGGTTTATATTATTTTATCTTTAGGGTTCATCGAAAGTTACGTAGTGATGACGACGACAAATGGGATTGCAGCGTATGTACTTATATAAACCCTAAGGAGTCATATAAATGCGAAATTTGTCATACTAGAAAGGGTACTTCCACGAGGTTTGTTTTAGGATTCTATTCGAACTTTCGTCTAGGAAACCGCGTCTAAACAATCAAGTGGTTGAGCAACAGCAGTTAATTGCTCAAACTATCCTGAAGGAAAAGGATGATGAGCACAAAAAGAAAAGGGAATCAAAGTGTAAACAAAGCGTATCAAGGTATTTAATCTTCATGTCAATTTACCTAGGTTTAGCAATTTTCGCCTTAAACACTTTGATCGGTCTTCACCCTTACTATTTGAGATCTTTGCAAATGGCTATAGTGTTATTATCACTGAATTTCAACCGAAGTCCTCCAAGTCGAATAGTCGTAGTTTCTCAGAAAGTCCCGCACTTTCTAATTCCTCATCACATCATGTAAGTAACTGATTTTATTACAGTGTATAGTTGCGCCCATTAATTTTACGTTAACAATGCATAACTGTCTTTGTTTTTCCGACAATGAAATTTTTTAACAGCCGATAAACTCCGACATGTAAAAATTATTGGTTCTAAGTCCTAAGCCCACAAAATCATGTATGTTGTATGACCGACCTATCAAATTGCATAGACGCAAAATTGCTGTCTAAGGTACGCAATTGATTTTGGGATGTTCAATCTAGTAGTATTAAAAGGCTGAGATCCACTTTAGTTCACATTGTTAAGAAAATAACAGCAATATCCATTATACACAAATGTGATTTTTCTTAGTCTTGGTTGCACACCTTCAGGGGACAAAAATACATGTGACCCACTAAGCAGAATCATTTATGCATTTGGCAACTAGTTGTCTATAGTTATTTATATAACAGACACAAATGCCTGATTCGACAGAGACTGTTGTCATTCAGTGCGATTGCAGCCAAGAACCTCTGTTAGTACTGAATAATTCTCATATTTACCTGTTTGGCTCAGACTAGCAGCTAATCACCTCATGGCTTATCGTCATATCGCAGTATGACAACTCTAACTTATACTACCTCAACTGGCATTTCTTGTTAGGGAAGGTGATTGATCGGCATGCACAGCACATGCCTTGACCACCTCCACTAACAAAGCTTCATAACCTCATCGATCGACTTTTTCGAATTACCTGACATTACACTTAGCCACATAAATATTTGCCATATTGCCCCATTTGATACAATTAATTCAACGAAGGCAATATGTAGTCGGAATGCACTGGTTTTTCGTACCTATTCCCACTCACCATATCTCGTGCTGGTAGAGAAAGTGACAAATCACTGCGCAGTACGTACGGTCTTTGATAGGTGACGGGATATAACACACGCATGAGGGATGACACCGCGAATGCATCCTCACTGACTTTGCGTCAGTAACTAGTCTGATACAGCTTCTCAAATTGATAGAGTGATTAACACATTTTATCATTTCACTACACATCCTTTAGCTTAAAAGAGACTTGCCGACGTACCTTGTGACATTTGGGGAGCACTAATCTCATACTAGACTTATGGAGATTTTTGTTCACAGCATACTGAAAGCTGCACATATTTTCGGCGTTTTTACTGTTGAGTTTGCGAAGTCAGTTATGTCTTTGTGGCTATTATTCAGGTGTACTTATCGATAACAAGTTATCATCTGTTTGAAACTCACCCTTTGGATCTGACAACCATCTGCATGTGTTACAGGTTCGAACTCCGGTTAAACTGTCCGTGTAGGGGCAGATAGAATGTATCTGATCGTACACTTGCTTAGTGTTTCCCATTTAGCAGTTGTTGATTTATATAATTCTGCAGCAAACTGACACTATTTGCTGATCTACGACCAGAAAGTTTCCTATATGTCACTCCATGCATTCGGTCAGTGACATTTATCTAGATATCTAAATTCTTATTTAGTTGCATTCTGACTGCGGTTTGTAGAATCGTGCAGATTAATAATATGTGGTAATGATTCAGTTCAGTTATCAAGAATAGATTCTCAATGTACCTAAATCATGTACAAAGTTAATTTGCAACACTATTTCACTACTAGACTATGAGGCACATTTGCTGTGCGATGGTTTATGATATTGTGTAATGACTCAGGGCTAAGTGCGTAGAATTGAGTGCCAACACAGGACATAATGGTTAAAACTTAGTTGCTCTAACCATGACTACTGGACAGGTTTTGTATGCAGCAAGACCTTGTATAGTTGCATGGTGGCTAATAATACTATGCTTCAGTTTTGCACATAACAGAAGGTAATGAAATGTGTAGCAAAGAAATTTAAATAACACAGCCCTAAGCTGTAAAACTGATTAAAATCAGATAAAGTAAGATAAAGCTGATAAAGGGAATAATAACTGAATTTTGGTGAAGCTTAGATATTAACAAACCTACTTCATTGCGACCGAACATCCAGTTAAATGTATGGTTCAACAACTAGTGACGTTTTATTTATAGCGCCCATGATGTTTTCCCTGAACAGTTGGTAATCATATCTGGGGTGTGCCTTGGTCACTTTCGAAGATGGGAGTTTATTACTTCATTAAATGCCTTGTGTGATGCAAGACCGTATGCCTAGATTCGGCGTTGCTCACATAGGGTTGCAGTAAGCATTAAAAGTGCTACGAAGTCAATGGTCAGATACCCAAAACTTTAGCAGATCTTTTGTACTGAGTCACTTTGAATTGACTGGTCTCCGTGAGACCAGATGAGAAAATGAAAAACCTCCATGAATTTGTTTTCTGCAAAGTTTTGTGGAAGTGATAAGAATACATTCATTGGGTGTACACCATTCGATGTAGATATTTCATAGGTTAGCTCACCACAGCCTCTACCGTGGCCATGAGTGTTCGAAAATGCAACATTCATTGAGGAATTATAGTTAACTTCATTGGAAGATATCATCATAAAACACTGTTGATAGAATCAAAAATTATTTCCAAATCAAGAAATGTAGCTATCAGTGGGAGCGTGTAGTTGTGTCGTTGTCACAAGCTCTAATGGAAGATGAACATATGGTAGATACACTATCACATCTGAAACCTGTCCAGCTCTCGTAGGTTTTCCGTACCCTAGCTATATTTAGTCGTCGTATATATGTAGACCATGGGATTTAAGAAATTGTCCTGGTCAAGCTAATTTCTCTGTAATTATTACAACAGTAATCTTATTAAGGGCCGGGACTGCAATCTTCAGGCACAGACTGCTACAAAAAACAATTCTCTTAGCTGTGTCAGTATATTTTTCATGTGTTCATAAATTAGCTGCCCAGCTTTTTACGCCCCATAAATGTGAACAGTAATATTAATTTTAAACAGTTAAATTGGGAAGTTTTCAGTTTAGTTCTCTGGAGATAATTAAATCGAAACCCCATTAGCTAGATGACACCTGGAAAAGTGTTTTGTCTTAATGAACTACCTCCACTACTTCATGTTAAACCACAACTTAGTTAATGTATTCAACCTTAGTTCATAATAAATATAAATGTGTGCAATTATTAGTGGATACGATTGCTTTTGCTTTATTTTAAAAGCTTTGTGTTGTATGAATAACAAGTGATGTGCCTAACAAGCAAATGTTTTATTTTATATTACAGGGTTTTGGGGTTAATCCTGGTAATTTAGCTGATGATATATCGTCAACAGATTCATTGACCAATGTGCCTATTACTTCACGACCTCATCACCTTTCGACTCTTTCAGAGTATGAATTTAATGATCCTATGGATATCAAACCTCCTAAAAATACTGACTGTCCATTAAAATCTAACTTCACTATAACAAGATCTGGTCCACCATCAAGTGAAGAACCTTTACGTCCCTGTCGATCTTACTCATCTGCATCAAGTTCCGTTGGAGGTAATACATTAAGTCGAGCAAGTTCACCTCATAATTCAATTGGTCCTTGCCTATCTGATGTTAAAAAAGAGCAAGCTGCTCTTGAAGCTGAACAAGCGGCTCATGATGGCGATGACGAATGTGAAGAGGACGAGAATATTATTAAAATTAGCTTGTCTAACGAATCAAAGCAATGTTCACCGTCTGGTACACAACATTCTAAACGTTCAGTATTACGAAGTGTTTCTCTAAACTCATCTTGTCCCCCTCAAAGTCGTCGAGGTCATCGAGGAGGAAGATTAAGATGTACACCTTCTATATCTCCTTTAAAACGCAAAAAGCTAACTCGTGGTTCTAGTCGTAATACCTCTGTAAACATATCTTCTCATTCATCTGGTAATCAGTCCAAAGAAAAAGTATCAAACGAATGCAACACATTAGTGCCATCTATAATTTATCGTTCTTTACGTAATAATAGCAATAATACTGATAAGTGTGCTTTAACTATTTCCGATTCCAAAAAATCCTCCTCAAAAAGATTTAAAAAATTATCTCGTCAATCTGATAAAAATTGTAAACCTCAAAAACGTCCACGTTTTGATGGACTATGTGGTAAACCACTTTTAGGAAATGGTTCAAGGCATGAAAAATGTTCAAGTGACAATAATAATAATAATAATAATAATAATAATAATAATAATAATAATAATAATAGTACAGATAATAAAATCATTTCATCTAATGAAGAGTGTGCTGCATTAACGAGTAAACCACTTATCTTCCCTGATGATGATCATTATGCACCAACCATACATTCATCACCAGATCTTCATAAAGAATCTGTATCCACTGTCGCTACATCCCAGGCACGTCCACGTTTATCAACAGAATCTAAAAATACAAGTGCAATGACAGATAGCAGTGGAGCTACTGCCTTGGAAATGTCTAGTTAATAAGTTTCACTTGTGTATTATTACTATTATTATTGTTTTTCTAGTTCTATTAAGTTACTTTTAAATTTTCTTCCTTTTTTTAATGTTATTGCTTTGTTTCCCCTTTCTCTTGCCTACTTTGTTTCTATCGGTCTTCATTATTATATTGTATTATATCAGGTTGCATATTTGTTCCAGAACAGTATAAATTAAGTGGAAATGAATTGAGTATGAAAAGTTTTCTATGTAAATGAGGTTGACTATGTAGGTTTTATGTATGTATATTATGGAAAGGAAGAATAAACCTTGGTGCCTTTCGTGTACTACCATGCATATATATATATATATATATATATACATAGACACATGGACAATGGTTTTTTTTAGCAGTTTCCTCATTTTTCTCTCTTGTACATATTGTTTCTTATTTTCTTTAAACTGTGAATATATACACAGATATGTATTTATTAGCTTATTTCTACCACTATTAATATGTATTAAAAGGAAGGAAGAAAGGAAGGGAGAAAGGAAAGAGAGCAGACAAAAGATCAAAACTTTGATCTTCTAATATTGTTTCGTCCAAGTGTCACACGTAGAAACGAGTTGTGTTGTTATCAATAGAATTTTATGATTTTCTCTTCTGACTTACCTATACACTAATATATATATGCTGATAAGATTACTTTATTTTATTCATTCATTCATTCCATGGGGTATCTTATTTGTTTATATATAGGATAATATGTTTCACTGTTGTATATTTGACAATTACAAATTGTTCAATTACTTATTGTTTTGTACTTATTTATTTATTTATTCATATTATTTTTTCAATGGTCTGATTGATTTCAATGATCTCTTTGCCTTTAGGCCTATCTTTCGTCCTACCTATTCTTTTTTATCTCTTAATGCTTTCTTCTCACTTATTACCCAATTGTTATGTATGTGCTGACTTACTGTTTCCGCTACGCATATGTATATGCGCTTCACCTGTGCGTGCGTGCATGCATGCATACATACATACGTATATACTTATGTTTGTATAAAGTATGCTTTCCTTTTATACACAAGTGTATAGTTCAAATAATTATTGAATTGTTTTACCTAATATAAAATAGTGTCTATTAATTTTCTAATTCTAAATGATACTCTATCCAATTATTGCTTATTGATTGTTATAATGTTGTGATTGTTGAGTTTTCACATAAGAGATAATCAAAAAAAAGAAATAGGACTGATCGCCTAACTGACACTACATACTACTGACTGACTGACTGATTAAGACGAGTGAGTTGTATACCACTCACACCAACCAGCGGTAGTGTTTGCTAACTAGATCATCTAAGTGAGCTAAACAACCGGATGGCTGTTTCACTCGTTTTTGGTGCTGAGCTTATCACCGGTGTGTAACCGGTTTCACTTAGCTTAGAGAGATGTGAATCAGTTGAAACCGCATGATTTTTTTTTTTGGTTAGCTACTTGGGTGAACTTGGGCTAGTGCTGTAAATCAAATTGGCGGTTTTCACAATCCGAGGAGGGATGAAATTTCACCACAGTTTCCTTTAGAAGTTGAAATCATTCAAATTACAATGAATGATCTGTTTGTAATACAATTAATTGGTAAACAAGAAAGGCGAAATTGTTGATTAAACTTGAAATGAAAAACATATTATTGGCGATGAGTTTAAATGCTAAGCGATAGATAGATAGATTACTGGTTGTTCAATTGTTAGTGCTGTTCTATTCAACATATAATACTATATCGACCCAACAAATTCTTCTCCATTGTCGTTTGAAAACAAATGCTATTTTAGGTTATTTTTGTTGTTTAGTCCAGTGGAAATTGTTTAATATATATTCATGTATTCAGTAAAATTTCAGCCATTGAATATTGTTATTGTATGGATTAGTTTTTATAGCTTAGTAGGTTGTTGGAAGTAAGATTTCTCAAATATGAATTTGTCGCTAACTAGTACAGGTGATTAATTGATCAGTTTCAGGTTAGTATTAGAGACTGACTTCAGTTGGAGAACCACTGAAAATCAGTGAGTACTGGATATCCTGGTTTGGGACCTTGGCAGAATTGATAATTCATGGACTATTAAGTTCCATCTCAGTGTCTGAGTGTTCCTTATGCTCGCCTGGTAAACTTTAGGTGCTGCGTTCAATTCCTGGAGGTGGGAATATGAGTACGTCGTACTGTTGAAGACTTTGAAACTAGGAGGAAACGGTTGTTCAATAGTCCCTGGAGTCAGTCTATGATCTAAGTTGAAATCAATCAAATCTCTGGAAATCAACGCTTGATCATTATTTACCAAGTTGTACGTTTATATCCACTCTAGCGCTTAGGTAGTCTGTCCAGGAGCAATATAGCAGATTATACCATCTCAGTGTGTATAAAACTAAACGAAATACCAGATGATATCTGGTATAGCTTGAAAGTGATTTGTCGATTAAGGTTATATTTGTTTTGCTCTAATTTTGATATTTTCAATTACAGCTATCCCGATGATTTAATTTAAAATGCTTCGACTGTTTAGAACCACTTTTCAAATAATAGTCATCTTTGGTTAGGTTAACTACAGAAGAAAATCATTTAGATATCGTATTTCGTTTATTGTACATAGTTGAATAATACTCAGTAATTTATTTGTACAAACTGTGGTATAAAGACTTTCAATTCCACTCCTATTCACATTCTCCTGGATACTCAGGGTATATATATATATATATATATATATGAGACAATATATGTTAGTAAGTGATAATTTTCGAAAAAAATTTACCAGATCTCTATAGTGTGAGTAGCTGAGACAGTTGTTAAGATCTTGATGACAATTCACATAACACAGTGTGAAGCACAACGTGCTGAGAACATGATGAGATTAATAAAATACTGTGTGTGTGTATGTTTTTTTAAAACAAATCCTCGTATCTTATCCAGTCACCATTAGGATTTTGCTCAGGTCAAATCCTATATCGTCACGAACCAATACCAGTTACAGAGATCATTGAAAATCAGGCAGCACTGGACAAGTGTTTCGTACTACTTCGAGACTCTTCGTCAGTGTATAGCCATGATCCCCCCATAAAGGAACGAACCAACGAGGCTTCAGGTAGGCTGTGAGGCCAAGCTGGTTAACCATTCAGTCATTTGGGTTGGAATAATGACTCATGAATTCTAACTTCCTTCACTTCGTGATACTATAACTACTGTTGGTTCGTGACGAACTAATCTACGTTGATGTTAATCTACCTCCCTACAAAAATCCATAATCTAAATATATAATACATATCACTAGTCTTATATATATATATATATATATATATATATAATAGGCAACGAAACACTTCAGGTTTTCATAAAGAAGAATAACTGATTCAAGTATAATTCTTCAATTAAGTAATTGGACAGTGATTATCTACTCTACTTTAGGCTAACAGGAATTGTATACAATTTTACTACCATAAAAGCAGTCGCCTGCCACACTGATGCATTTCACATTCATTCTGGATAATAATTGCTGAATGGGTCTTTTACCAAATCAGTCATCTTTCGTGATAAGGTCGTTTACGCCTGGTATTCATCATTTCGATGACTTCAACAAAACATTAAAGTTGTGATGAGAATAATCAATACTTGTCGATGAATTCTTGTAGTCTCAGTTGAGATTAGTTGAGTGTTAGTTCGATTTCTGTAGTTGAATTTTTTTTGCATAAATGTCAGAGTGCTGATTGCCTGCTAAAATTATTTTTACTTTCCATAGTTTTAATCAACTGATTGTTATGTTTTCTGTTAATATTTATAGAATATCCAAAATACAAATTTATTAGAATTAAAAGGATTTCAGGTATGTGATATTTTTTTAATGAGATGACTCCATTTGTTTGTTTTTTTATACTATGAAAAAAAACACAATCATTTCATCATTCTTTAAAAAAATCTTTATCTTTCCATCATCATCGTTGTAGACAATTAATTGATTGAATCACATGTTCACTTCTTTTTTTTTCGCTCATTAAGTACCCTTAGTTATAACACTTTAATAAAACAATTATTTTCTGTTCAAGTGCGAATGTGGATTTCGTTACCAATAGAGACACTAGTTAAACGACGGCATGTATCTATGATACGGTCTCAACTACTTAAAATACTACTCTAGAAAGTGTCGTTTATTATCAATATTAATATTTGTTTGTATTTGTTGTTATTGGCTTTTAATTCTTTTTTGAAAGTATGGAAATATATCTTATTGGGGCTTGAGAAGTAGTTGACCCTGAGTTCGAATCCCTTGTAGCCAACCTAATTTAACTTGAAAGATTGGATTATCAGCCTTACTAATAGTTTTCGACAGATATGATAACTAGCAGTAACAGCCATGGTGTACGTTCTGTTGTATTTCGTACTCGTCAGGTAGATGTTCATACATCCTGATAGCTAATGGACCTTACATCCGTCGTTCCAAACGCCACTTAGGCAATGAGAACCATCTCTTGTGCAACGAGTGTCAGTTATTATTTGCTCCATTTAATTTTATGTGTTTTCCATTGGTTGATTATATTGAACTGAAATGTCCAGTCTCTAGTGGATGATATCCCTTTGGCGTCTGAAACGATGGCTGTATAGCTCGAATCTCAGCGGGAACACACTGTCACTTACTAGGAACACTTACCAGGTACATCCAGATGACGAGTCTCCAGCATAATCAATCCACGGAAAATACAATACTAAGTGAAACAAAATCCAAGTGAAACTAACTTGAAAATATGACTGGTGTTTACTTCTACTGCATTCATGTGGAACGGTACACATTCTACTGAAACAGTCTAACTATATCGTGTCTCCTGTCATAATTGTATATTTTGTGTTCTTATCCTTTAATTAATACTGTACCACTGTGGGTTGGGCAAACGAAATAGGCTGGCTAACATGGAATAATGTCTTTATATTCTACTTATTAGAAAGTATTTTAATGTAAGATGATGCTGCAGGATTGGTCTTCACCGACCCCTAGATTAGAAATAGGAAGTGAAGTGGTAGAGCACGTTGACCGCTTCACTTACTTGGGAAGTACCATCAGCCCCAACGGGTTGATCTCCGACGAAATCTCAGCACGAATACAGAGGGCTAGGTTCGCATATGCCAGTTTACGCCGTCTCTGGCGTAGACGCGATATCCGACTATCGACCAAAGGGCGTGTGTACTGCTCAACAGTCCGCTCCGTCCTCCTTTATGGCCAGCTGTGAGACCTGGCCATTGAGAGCAGAAAACATGAAAAGATTAGCTGTCTTCGATCATAGGTGTCTGCGTTCCATCTCCCGCGTGAAGTGGTATAATAAGGTGAGCAATATTGAGGTTAGGCGTCGAGTGCTAGGTAAGGTGAGGAAATCAGTCGACGAGACTGTGAAATTACATCGACTGAGATGGTTGGGACATGTGTTACGTATGCCTAGTCATCGCCTTCCTCGACAATGGGCAATGTTAGCTGATATAGAGTCAGGCTGGAAAAGAGCTAGCGGCGGTCAAACGAGAACTTGGCACCAGTCAATGAAATCCACAACAGTTAGTCTAAGTCACGTAGGGAGATGTAGACTTCCTGGTTGGGGTCCTCGGGATGGTAAAAACCAATGGTTGGAAACAATCGGTGACATGGCTCAAAATCGTTCTCAGTGGCGCAGATGCATCCACTCCTTGTGACTTATGATTTCCGATGAAACTGTTCGTTCTTCGTTATTACTACTCCTTTGTCTCACACCTCTGTTTACTGTCTATATTATGCACTTCTCCTACTTTCTTCTCTTGCTTTGTGTACTACATGGAGTGTGGCGACTTGAACTGCCGCACATATGTGCAAAGTTCTATGTCGAAAACAGACAGACAGATTTTAATAAATTAGTATTTTCAAAGATAACTTCTAATAGAGTTGTGCGGTGTCGAAAGTACAACGTGATAATCTGTAAGGTGTATATCATTAACTGTGAATGCTCTAAGTATCAAATAAACCAAATTTTTTTTTATTCCAGATATCACAGATAGCTGCTGATGCATCAGGACGTCTTGTTGCGTTATGTGGGTAAGTGTGTGTGTCTTTCCCATATTGTGTCTCACCGGCTACATATTTATTAAT